TGACTATTTCTATGAATTACGTCCAGATACTGAAGATTTCTGGGTAGCTCAACAGCACTAAAAATCAGCTGTTTTATCAGGACACCCTGACTATATTTGAATAGAAAAGTGGCTGAAGAACCATAACTAATGGGAAAATTGCAATGTGTCAGCTTGGCATGTAGCACAAGGATACATGATAGGTTTGTGTGATGTTCCCCTCTGGTGTTATCTGGACCGGTGATCTGCTAGGTCACTCCAGTCTTTGATTCTGTGAGCCAGCCTTACCCTGCTCTGCTGTGAGAACCCCCACTCGTGGACTGTTCATGTACAGCGTCTGGCATGTAAGCTGCTCCCAGTTACTTGCAACCGAATGACACTAGCCAATATCTCCGGTCCCAAACGCAACCTGAGGAGCCTCCATCTTGCAGTGTCCAGTTATGCCCACTGGACACTGCAAGCTTATATGAGTTTGTCAATTTAACAAAGAAATTGATATGTACCAGGCTTGTTATCCCATGGGGAGTCTCGGACACGCTTCAAACCAAACACACTGCTTCAGGTAGAATAAACAAACTGCTTATTAACTACAAACATAGATTTTAAGTGATTATAAGTCAAAGCATAACAAGTCAGATTTGGTCAAATAAATGAAAGCAAAACGCATTCTAAGCTGATCTTAACACTTTCAGTGCCCTTACAAACTTAGATGCTTCTCACCACAGGCTGGCTGGTTGCCCTTCAGCCAGGCTCTCCCCTTTGATCAGCACTTCAGTCGCTTGGTGGTGATGTCTGTAGATGGAGGTGGAAGAGAGAGGAAGAGCATGGCAAAGTCTCTTCCTTTTATCATGTTTTTTCTTCCCTCTTGGCTTTGCCCCCCTCTTAAGAGTCAACTGAGCATGACCTCATTGCAGTCCCAAACTGACCAAAGGAATGGGGGTCCCTTGTTGTTACCTAGGCCAGTGTCCTTTGTTCCCAGTGAGGCTGGGCTGGGTTTATCTCATACATGCCCTGATGAGGTGTGAACTGCCCCTCTGCTTCTGGAGAGTTTTTGCTGGGATTGCTTTTCAGCCTCATAACTATATACATGAAATTACAACCTATAACATAACATAACTATAACAACGATTACTATAACATTAACATAACAACAATGCTCAGTGCATCATGAACCTTCCGAAGACACCTGACATGATAAACTTTGCATTAGATACCACACAATCATATGATAAGGATGAACATGGGGTGCTAGGTGTTCCCCCAAGGTACAGAATGTCACAGTTTGGTCTTATGTATCATTGTAGTAATGATCTAAACTAGGGATTAAACAATATGCTAAGGAAAATCATTGCTGATCCTTGTACTGGAGATGTTGTACACATTTGGAGATTTGGTTAGTTGTAGCCACCAGTGCTGGGTGTTGTTTAGAGGAAGCAGGCTCTATTTTTCCTTTCCTCTCCCTCTCTTTGGATTGCCCTTTGTTTTCTATACTGAGCAGAACTGGGTGGAGAGTGGTAATTCCATTTCATGGAGGATTTTTATAGTTCAACATTTGGCTTTGTTCTAGTTCAGAATGAAAACCAAAAGGGAATGGAGACCTGGCTATGGGGCAGTGAGTCAGGGATCCTGGAAGCCTAGACTGCCAAGGAACCATGAGCCCAGGAGCTGGGGTTTACAGGCTGTCAGCTCCCTGTCAGCCTACCAGGCAGGCTGCCAAGGAGCCTGGCAAGTAAGGGCAGGAACCCAGACAGGTTTCTATTGAAACTTTGTCATAATGGTACCATCTCTGCGAATGTTTCAATTTCAACGAATTGGCAAATTCTGATGAAAAAATGTTGAGTCTGAATTTTTCTGACCCGCTCTAATATGGAGGTTACTACTAGCGGCAGGGGTTGTGGCTGAGTTTGACATGACTAGAACATTAGTCAACATTTTGGTCTAATTTCAATTGTTGTGGGTGCTGGGTGGTGTTGGTGGCCTGTGATATACAAGCAGTGAAACTAGATGAACTGGTGGTTCCTTCTGGCCTTAAACTCCATGAAACTATGAGAAAAAATAGGTTTATATATCAGGAAAATTTTCCTGACAAGTGAGATCCAAGTGGCTGTGGAATAGTCTCCCAAGGGAAGTGCTTAGCCTTCTTAAAACCAGAGTGGACATATGAAATAATTAGAGCTGATCGAAAAATGGAGTTTCTGTCCTTTAGCAAATTGTGATATTCAAACATTTGTTTTCATTCCAAACTGGGTGGAAGCACTGAACAAACAAGATGCTCCAGAGCAGCTCAGATACAGAATGAGCCTGCTGCCCATGGTGGAAAATGGAGTTGAGCTGGGGAGTAGGACCTGTATGGGAGAATGGAGTCATGCAGGACTAGGGTTGTCAACCCTCCAGGATTGGCCTGGAGTCTCCAGGAATTAAAGATTAATCTTTAATTAAAGATTGTGTCATGTGTTAAAATTTCCAGGAATACATCCAACCAAAATTGGCAGCCCTATGTAGGACCCAAAACTAGAACTTGCATGAGGCACTGGGGCAGTTGTGTCCTGGAGCGTCACATCAACCTGAATGCTTAGTTTCAGGTTGACAAACTGAAACATAAAATTTTGGATTGAAATGAAACATATTTTGCTTAGACTTTCCTGGCAAAAAAATTCCACCGACATAAATATTTTGTCACTGAAAATTTATACTTAGGCTAAACCCCATTTTCCAGGAAAATGTTTCATCTAGAACTTTCCAACCAGCCCTAGCAATACTGTACAGTAGGAATAACCTTAGATTGTTACATTATTTTCCATTTCTAACAGCTAGGGTCTGTGATTCTAACCTTGCTATGATCCTACATATTTTGGATCACGTTTTCTTTATCTTTACTACTTGAGCTAGTGGACAACCACAAGATGTTGTCCTATACCGTATACACATTGAGTTACGCAAGGGTTTCACTTGACATTTGTTTTTTGCTACAATGTCAGATTCAACATGGGAAAGAAACTGGATCTACATGTGATCTAACGCAAAATTTATGTGACACTGTTCAGTTTACATAAAAAAACTGATTCTGCCTGATTTTGATCTAACAGTGGTGTAACTCCATTGACTTCAGTGAAGTTACTCTTGTTTTATGCCAGTGTAAGCAACATTGGAATCAGGCTTATAAATTCTTAACAACTTTGCTACAGTGTGTTGTGCAATGACAGTAGAGATGCAGCTGAGCCCCACAGTTCATCTGTTTTGATCTGATCTTGCCCTTAGTTTGGGGTATTCAAATCCAGGGTTTGGTTCAGCATTTATGCAGATTTAGAGCCTGATTCTCAACTATCTTGCACCTTGTGTAGTCATTTACAACTATACAAAGTGGGTGAAATGATACCAAATTGGAACCGCAGTGTTCTGCACTCTCTTTGCACAGGTGTAAATGACTATATGCAGGGCAGGGCAGTGGAAAATCAGGTCCAGAGGCTAGTGGAAAGTTTATTTGGGGAGGGGAGTTTGGTGGGGAGGAAGGATGTCTGCTTCTGAACTTCCCCCAAATTTGGATTTTGGTTAAGGTCTACCTCTAATTTGAACAGCATTTTCCCAGCATGGAAACGTACAACTCCATTTGCTGACTTTTGTTCAAAGGCTCTTTCTGTGGCTAAGCCATTTATGTGTCTATATTACATGTAAATCTTTGATACCATATGAGATAACAGGGATAATCCTCCTAAAGGATTTGTGGTATTTCATATTAGAGCTTCCATTTGTAATCATATGCATTGCCTTTAGGAGTCCTTGAGTGATGATATATCATCACCGTATTCAATTGCACTATATTAACATAAGTTTAGAAGCACCAGTAACCTATGGGTCCAGAACTATGGATCCTGCTGCCCTTTCTCAGATTTATAAACACAAAATTCCATTATAGTTAATGGGCGTTTTATCTGAATACCAATAACGTGATTTAGGCCATTTTGCTTTTGAAGCTTCATCTGCTATCTTTGTATTAAATGATGTGGTTACTTCCAACACAGAGTAATAGTTGCCAAATAAAGTCACTTTTATTCTGGGATAGAAATGCCAACGCACGGAGTTATTCCAGAGTAGCTATAGCATAATAATTATTCCAGAACAGCTGTGTCTGTCAATTTCTCCATGTAGACAAGGCCTTAATGTTCCTGGGTGGTGATGAGCAATGAGAAGAACTTTAATTACTTTGCTGCTGAGAATTGCAACCTATGATGGAGCAACTGAGTAATTTGGGGGAACAAGTTCAAAGATAAGAATAGCTATGTCCACCAAGCCTTATAGTGTGGCAATACTGCTTTTATATAGCACCGCAGACACTGTATCTATTATGGCAACATAATACAGAAGATGGTCATGCTTCTAGAGACAATTATTTTTGAAATTAATATAAAATTAAGGATTTACAGAAGTGTATCTCTACAAAGAATTGTTTGTTTATTCACAGCACTATTGGGGATATTGACTCAAAATGTCTAGCATAGAATTTTTAAGGCCTCATGATGATCTCACTGTGATGTTACACCACATATTCTTCATAGAAATATTGTTATGATATGATATGGCATAACTAAGATATGTTTTATGCAAGATGGTCATGTGAGATATCATGGAAAGGTTATGATTTACTGAATGTGATTATCCAATGTGTCTGCATGTATCATTTCTGTATCTAGAGTTAGGAATATTGACTATGTAACAACTACAACTGTGTGTGTACTTGGGAAACACCCACCAGATGGCAGGCCATCAGCCTTGATGAGTCATTAGGAAGAAACAATAAGACTTGAAAGATACTAATCTCTCTCCTTCCTGAGAAGCTTCCTGGGTTGCTGCTTTTACACTACAAGGTCAGGTGATCATGTCACCTTGTACAGGTTCCCATCTTGAGCTGGTATTTTTCCACTGGAAGGGTCTGGGAAACAAAAGATTCCCACCTTATGTAAATCTTATTTGAGGCTGGGGAGTAAGTTGATCTTGGTTCACTCTTCACTGAATTTCTCACCCAGGATGACTGCTGGAAACACCTAAGTAACAAGGACAAACGGAAAGGGGAAGAGTACTGAACCCAGGCTGGAAAAGGGATCTGGTCTGTGAATAAGATACCTGAAGATGTAAGCTGAAAGCAGAGTAGCTGACCTTCAAGAATTTCTGCAACCTGTCCAAAAACAACATTTAGGGTGAGAAATGGCTACTTGTAACCAGTTTCTTTGAGATCTTAAGCTTAGTATGCATGTTTTGTTTTATTTGCTTGGTAATCTGCTTTAATCTGTTTGCTATCCCTTATAATCACTTAAAATCTGCCTTTTGTAGTTAATAAACTCATTTTTGTTTACTATGAAACCCAGTTTGTGCAATTTATAACTGGGGGAGCGGGGCAAGAAGCTGTGCATATCTTCCTCCACATTGAGTTTATGAACTTACACTGTATAGATTTCTCTACAGGAACAATAACGTCAGTGGATTTTGGATCAGGTCCTTAGTGCCCAAGATTCTATTCTGCAACTTTTTTTCAACAAACTGGGAAGCTGGATTTTGATGGCCAAGACGTATAATTGCCCAGAATTGTAATGGGAAATAAAGGCACTTGGGTAAGTTTGCTTACTTTCGACAGCAGCGGAGTTATGATTGTTCTAGCTGCCCTCGCTTTACTTAGTGATTATGGAAAGATTGGGGTGATGTATGAGCAGCCTGCCTGCCTGATAACAATGACACCTAGTTGTGTGATACAATATTTACACAAAGATATATCCTGCATAGCGCACACTGAATATTCATTGGCACAATGTGGCTCATGATAAATTCAGGTGACATTAATATAGAAGTCACGTACAATGCGTTATTGTGTAATTTTTAGTGTATTTACATTCTATTGAACCTTGCAATGATCAATTTAATTTCCTCTCCTGTGAGAGTATTCAGCAGCGCTGTTGAAATTTACATGTTTGCTCTTCTTTAATGACACTTCAATCTTGGTGGAGAAAATTCTGTGTTTTCTAGCCTAACCTGTTCTGACATTTTGTCTGTTTAACTTTAGTTATTGAATAGAACAGCAGAGCTCAACCAGCAACATTGTAAGGAACAAAATACTTCATCCATACTGTATTGCTTATCTAAAAACAAATGCTATCCCTCTGCTCTTCCTTCCCATATATAGTGGCTCATTTATTGAATCCCAAAGGTCCAACCCATTTGAAAATGATACTGACATACCTTGGTACATATAAGAATCCATAAATACCATAAATCCATGTTAGTGCCCAAGGAATGAGTGCAGGTTACTCACTTCAGTTTAGGGCCTGATCACTAAAATCACCATTGGCGATGCATGACATCAGTCCCCACTGAAAGAATGGCTCCTTGAGAACTATTCTAACCATTATAAATTAGAACAGCCCTGTGGCTGCTTCAGTAGATTCTGTGTGTCGAAACAGGACAGTGTGTCTGGGTAAATATTGTATAGCACAGTGGATGTTGTTGATATCAGGCATATGACCACGCTTGGGAGACAGCCATACTTTTCATACATCACACCAACATTCTGTAAACTGAATAAAGTGAGTTTAGGACAGCCATCTCTCTGCTGCTGGACATCTTAAGTAAACAGAGACTTCAGCAAGTCCTTTTATTTTCCTTCTTTAAAGGTCAAAGTGAACTGTACTGGAGGCACTTTGAAGTGGTCTCAAGTCAGTGAGTGGTGGAGGTGGTCCTGAGAGGAGGTTTAGTTGTACAGGGGTAAATGGATAACTTAACCAATAGTTAATGATATCCATGAGATCACAGTTGTGTATTGCAATGTACAACTGCACCAGTCTTTATTTACTGATTTCATAGCACTAGTGACTACATTCATTCTGGGTAGAGAGAGTGCACACCTGCCCACAGATATAGAATTTTAGGACTTTGAGAGGTCATCTAGTCCAGTCCCCTGCACTCATGGCAGGACTAAGTATTATCTAGACCGTCCCTGACAGGTGTTTGTCTAACCTGCTCTTAAAAATCTCCAATGATGGAGATTTCACACCTCTCTAGGCAATTTATTCTAGTGCTTAACCACCCTGACAGAAAGTTTTTCCTAATGTCCAACCTCAACTGCCCTTGCTGCAATTTAAGCTCATTGCTTCTTGTCCCATCCTCAGAGGTTAAGGAGAACAATTTTTCTCCCGCCTGCTTGTAACAACCTTTTATTACTTGAAAACTGTTATCATGTCTCTTCTCAGTCTTCTATTCTCGAGACTAAACAAACCCAATTCTTTCAATCTTTCCTCAAAGGTCGAGTTTTCTAGACCTTTAATCATTTTTGTTCCTCTTGTCTGGACTTTCTCCAGTTTGTCCACATCTTTCCTGAAATGTAGTGCCCAGAACTGGACACAATACTCCAGTTGAGGCTTAACATCTTCGCTTGGCTACACAGAGGTTTTGCCAGCCTTCACCATGCATTCTCTCCGGGAGTGACAGAAATTCCCTAGAAGTGGGGAGGAGGCCACTGGTGCCCGAGCGGTAGTCCTTCCTCCCCCCCCTGCACCCCTTCTGCCGGAGCCACTGCCTCTCCCCACCCCCAGGCCCAACTCCTGCACTGCCTCTTCCCCCCAAGACCCTGTTTCCTGCTCGCTCCTCTTTGCCCCCTCCCCTTGTTGCTTTCCCTTACAGCCGGTAAAAAGTGATGGGGCCCCCTGTTCCAGCACCCCTGGTTGTATCATCAAATGAATCATGTCCATTAAAGAGAGAGTAGTAAGAAGGAACGTCTTCTACCTATCTGCAGTTCCCACTTGGCAGGTACAAATAAAGAAAATCAGCACACACACAGGCACACCAAAATCACATGGTTTGTTTTCTGAGTTCTGATGCTCGGAACAGTTGCAAAGGGAAGTTAAGATAATGGCATGGAGAGAACACTTATAAAGTTTGATGATACCAGGCTGGGAGGGGTTGCAAGATAATGGCATGGAGAGTACACTTATAACGTTTGTGGATGATACCAAGCTGGGAGGGGTTGCAAGTGCTTTGGAGGATAGAATTAAAATTCAAAATGATCTGGAAAAACTGGAGAAATGGGCTGAAGTAAATAGGATGAAATTCAATAAGGACAAATGCAAAGTGCTCCATTTAGGAAGGAACAATCAGTTGCACACGTACAAATTGGGAAATGACTGCCTAGGAAGGAGTTCTGCGGAAAGGGATCTGAGGATCATAGTGGACCACAAGCTAAATATGAGTGACCAGTATAACACTGTTTCAAAAAAAGCAAACATCATTCTGGGATGCATTAGCAGGAGTGTTGTAAGCAAGACACAAGAAGTAAATCTTCCTCTCGACACTGCTGTTGAAAGATGCGGATAGGTGCATAGTGACATTTTCAAGGGTGCTTTGGTGCCTCACCCACACGGGAAAATTGAAAGTCTCCCCAAATTTGGCCATGTTATAAGCCTATGAAAAAAAATCACAATTCACACGTGCTGAAAAGCCTTGCTAGAGCTTCGCAGCTAAATTCCCCAAAGATTCTGTTCACACGGGGCATGCTCAAGCATGGTCCTGAGTAGGACTTTCCTAGCGATTGCAATTCTGATCAGATTGGAGCTGGGCACAGGAGCTGAGAGCAGAGAGACTTGCTCTCCTGTGTTCTAAGTGACCCCCTCTACATGCCTCACGCAGTATGGAGGAGGAAGTTGCCTGGTCTGAGCAGAGAGGACAAGAGCCAGACTTGGAGGGGGAAACTAGACTGGGACAAGGAGCCTGGGTAGAAGGAGACTGGGACTGGAGGCTAGTTGGGGGGGATGGGAGGGAAAAAGATTGGGAGATCAGGTATGGGGAAGATTGGGACTAGATGCACAAGGAGACTAGGACTGGGAGCAGGAGAGAGAGAATGGGACTATCTGGGCAAGGATCTTGCTTCTGCATTTTATTTCCAAGCAAGAGCAGAGCACCAGCACTGTATTGTATCTCCCAACCTTCCAGCACCAAAATGTGGTGCACAATGAAAAACAAAGATAAAAAGAAGAAGTCTACTATTTCCACTTCCACCTGCATGTTCACAGCATGCATTGTTCACAGAATGCAAATACAAATGGCTGGCTTCTAATTTGCTAAAAGGTTTGCGAGGTGTCCTGTTGCAGGACCTGATCTTACACCCTTGAAGTCACCAATGGTGATGCACTACATCAATCCCCAGCTAGCAGAATAGACCATAGGGAATCATTCTAGCCTGTGCAAGTTAGAAAAGTCCTGTGGCTGCTCTAACTTGCACCCTCAGCCCTATGGCTGCTCTAACTTATGCCAGGGACCAGTTTGGCTCCCTGGCTGGCTCAGAATTGAGAAAAGTGTATAGATTGTTTGTAGCCAGTTTTGCTCCCTGTCCCTTTCACATGCACTGAATGTGAGCTCAGTGCAGTTGAGCATTGAGGTCACTTGTCTTAATTATGGCTGTAAATAGATGTCAAAATATCCTTCTGGGTATAGCCTCAACAAGAGCCCCACCTACACTACCAGTAGGCACAAACAGAAGCTTTTACCATCTTACCTGGGTTTTTTTCAACCATGCAATTGGTCTCTACCATTTACCCATGTACACAAAGATGTGGCAGAAGCACCTACAGTAAATAAATAAAGCAAATTAGCAAAGCAACAAGGACAAGCCTCAAATCCTTGGAAGTGATGACAGAGATGATAGTCGCTGTTTGCAATACCCAGCGTCTGAAATCATCGGTGATCACTTGATTGACAGCAATTTTGTGATGACAGATGGGAGAGAAAGCCAGGCTTAGACTCACAGTCAGACTTGTAGCTATACCAGCAGTAGCATGATGGGTCATGAGCCCAGTTTGGATGGGGAGGTTGATTCCAGATGAAAACACCCATCGTCCTCTTTAACAAAGAGGAGGTGAGAGCTAAAAGGGGTGGATAATAAAGAAAATAAAAAGGACATACTTTAAAAAATAAATATACATTACTTTATGATGGGATATACGAATATAGTTTTTAGCTACTGTATAAGTCTACAGAGAAACTGCCGTTTTATGATCAAATTGCAAACACTATTAAGAAGAGAAATACAATTGATAAGTAAACCACAATTTCTTCATCTTCTTTACATGTTAGGTCCTTTAAAAGAACACTATATATCTATATTTGTATATCTGTAGATCCATCTATCTATACATGTACACACACCCCTTGACTAACATAGGAGCATAGATGTTGTAGAAACAAACAAGCTATATATCCCTGACATATTAAATCATTATCCTAATATGGGATATAAATATACATATATTTTGTATACATGGTGTTAAAATTAAAAGATATGCTTTCCTATGTGAGTCCCCTAGTATTAATTAGGATTTTCCCCCATTAGAGCTGTAAGTTTTGCTGGGAAAAAAACCATACATGGTGCCCTCTTCCATGTAACATACACAATATGGCTATAGTAATGGTGCTAGACGAGCCCAGTGCCTCACATGGAATCA